AAAACCTGTTCTTAAGCCTATTTGTGAAGTATAATTGTGTCTATAATGAGCGATTTATTTTTACCAAATAATTGAGTGACTAGTATAATATATTTGTAAGGTGAAATTCCAACAATAATCAAGGTGATACCGGGCTCAATTTCCACAGTTTCCACCATATATCGACACAACCTCGATTGAGACAACACCCAACTTCCACTTCCTTCCTTCCCACCTTCGGTTGCTATATATATACTCACAAAGAGTCGGCCAAAATGAAAAACAATGTATAGCCCAAGAGAAACCACACAGGTTATATGAAAGAAAGAGGCCGAGAATCAAAGTCACAGAAAGAGATGGAGTGTTCTTCATAGTGGAGGCATAGAGGAGCCGTAGGTTATAAGGCAAATGAGTGACAAAAAATGGTAAGTTAGGTTAGGTTAACTAAGTGGTCCAAACAAGGCTCAACACAGGGTAATGAGCTCCAAATGAATACCATAGCCCTCCAAGTAAATGGGACAAACCATGAGCAACACTATTAAAATAGGTTGCTTTTAACGGTCCATAGAGATGTGGGTTGGGTTGTCTCGATTATAGTGTCGACATATAATTCAATTATATGGCCAAGGCCGATTGATAATAAATAAAATTGAGGTTACATCATTGTCCGAGAGATCGTTTGACAACAAATTGCCTGACAACCTCCATCTTGATGTCAAAGGACCTGTAAAAGAAAATGTCTCCCATTAGTGACACCTCTAATAGAAAATCAATAAAATTGAAAATCATTTACCTGTACCAATATTTAGAAGTTTCTTACAACTTCTAAATTTTGCCAATGGCAATACCTTCGTCCCCATATCGGAAGGGTTGTAGTAGGTGTGGACCTTTTCAAGTGTTACCACCTCTTGAGATATTATATCTCTAATGAAGTGGAGTCTAACATCAATGTGGTTAGTGCACTCGTGAAAAATGGGGTTCTTGCACAAATGTATAGATGGTTGACTATCAGAATACAATACCACATAATCATTCAAGACACATAGTTCATGAAGTAGGCCTCTAAGCCATAGAGGTTCTTTAATAGCTTCAGTGGTAACAATATATTCTGATTCTGTAGTGGATAGTGCAACAATATGTTGTAACTGTGATTTCCAACTAACACACGAATTAGATAAGGTAAACATGTAAGACGAAGTGGATTTCCTACCATCCCTATATCCTGCGTAATCAGCATTTACAAAATCCTTTAATTTTATACCTTTTTTATTAGCACTAAACTTTAAACCTACGTTACTTGTACCCTTCAAGTACTTTAATAGCCACTTTAGCGCTTCCCAATGCTCAGGGCCCAGATTAGCCATGTATCTACTGAGAGTACTAACAGCAAAATCTAAATCCGATCTAGTGCAAATCATCAAATACATTATGGAACCAATCACATTAGAGTAAGGCACTTTACTCATATATTCTCCTTCACGCTCATTGCAATCACGCTCATTGTAAGGGGATTGTTCCTTCGATAAAACAAAATGATTAGCAAGAGGCAACGTGACAAGTTTGCAATAACTCATATTAAACTTCTTCAATACTTTGGATATGTATGGAGACTGATGCAAAAACAAAACAGAATTTGACCTATCTCTTTCTATTTCCATACCTAGGATTCTTTTCGCCTTACCTAGGTCTTTCATGTCAAATTCACCACTTAGTTTTGCTTTTATATTATTTATCCACTTAGAGGATGATCCAATCAAGGCATGTCGTCCACATAGAGCAACAAAAACAGATAATTATCATCAGTCTCATTGTGTTGAAAATAAAAGCAGTGATCAAATTTACTTCTTTGAAACCCTATCGTGAATACAAAGGAATCAAACCTCTTGTAATACTGTCTAGGAGATTGTTTTAATAACCCATACAAGGATATTCCCAGAAAACACACATAATCAGGTTTTGATTTATCTTTAAAACCTTTTGGTTGATTTATGAAAATTTGACCATCAAGCTCACCATGTAAAAAAGCTGTTTTTACATCAAGTTATTCAAGTTCCCAGTCAAAGTATGCAACTAATGCGAACATAACCTTAATAGTGGTGTACTTAACAATTGGTGAGAAAATCTCATTATAATCAACGCCCTCCTTCTGTGTAAGCCTTTAGCTACTAACCTAACTTTAAAACTTAAGGGTTCCGAGCTACTAGTACCTTCCTTAACCTTAAAGACCCATTTGCAATCAACAATCGATTTGTTCTTAGGCCTAGGTACTAGCTCCCAAGTGTGATTATTTTCTAGAGAACTCATCTCTTCTTTCATTGCCTTAAGCCATTCATTAGATTGATCACTGCTTATTGCCTTTTCAAAGGTTTTTGGCTCTTTATCTGCTAGTTCTTCATAACTAGCCTGGGTGAAAGCTAATTCAGATTCAAAATCGAACCTTCTAGGTTCTCTCGTTTGTCTCATCTCTCTATCCCTAACTAAGTTGTAGTTAGTTAAATGATTTTCTTTCTCGTAGTGATTTTCTATCACTACTTCGTTACTATTCTCCACCTTAGGTTCCTAAACTTGAATCTCCACCTCATTAGGAGCAGTAGGGGTAGGTGTACTGAACTTTCCTAACTCCACTTTAAACAGGTCTCTCTCTTTACCTGGTTCAGTTTTACTCTCAGGTTCAGTTTCCTCTTTAATACACGGCATCTCATTCTCGTTAAACGTGACATCCCTACTTATGATAATCTTAACCCCCTTTTGCTTCCATCCCATAACCTATAACCCTTAACACCCTCGGGGTATCCTAGAAATACACACTTTCTAACTCTAGGTTCCAGCTTACCCTTACTTTGATGAGAAAAAAGCTGTGCAACCAAAAGTTCTAAATATCGAGTAATCACTCAGTTTACCCGACCATCTCTCATGCGGAGTGTCACCATTCAATGCAGCAGAAGGAGTCAAGTTAATCAAATAACAAGCAGTCATAACAGCCTCACCCCAAAATAACTTGGGAACACCAAAACTTATCATCATGCAACATACTTTATCAAGTATGGTCCTATTCATCATTTCTGCTACCCCATTTTGTTGAGGAGTGTAAGGAACGGTCTTATGTCTAGTTATGCTGCTTTTTATTCACATACTATCAAATTCCTTATTGCAGAATTTTAGGCCGTTATCTATCCTTAAAATTTTGATTTTCTTGCCAGTTTGGTTTTCTACTTGTCTCTTACAATTGTTAAAACTATTAAAGGTCTCAGATTTATCTTTCAATAGATAGACCCACACTTTCCTAGTATAGTCATTGATAATAGGCAGGAAATACCTATTCCCACCCGATGTAGGATTACTAGCAGGACCCCATAGATCAGAGTGCACATATTCGAGCATGCATTTAGCTCTATTAACACTCGTGGAGAAAGAAATTTTATGATACTTACCGAGCACACAATGATCACAAAATGACAAATCTGACACACAGTTATTACCAAAAGCACCTTTTTCATTAAGTAGTTTAAGTCCCTTGATACCTACGTGAGCAAGTCTTTTATACCATGTATGTGTGTGATCAATCTTGGCAGAGGAGATAGAGGAGTTCAAACCTCTAATCACTTTCTCAGTGGTAATATATATATCGTTTTTCTTAATTCACTTAATGGAAACTAAAGCACCATTGATCATTTTTAGCATACCATTTCCAATTTTACCGGTAAAGTCATCATTTTCAAGTCTCCCTACTGAAATCAGATTCCTAGACAATTCAGAAATATATCTAACATCTTTTAACGTGTACACAAAACCCGTGTCAAATTTTATATTTATGTCACCAATTCCAGCAATAGTATAGGCAAAGTTATCACACAGCATAACATGCCCAACATTAGATTCATGCAATTTATAAAACCAATTCTTCTCAGACGTCACATGAAAAGATGCACCAGAGTCAAGTATCCACTCATGCATGCAGGAATTAGCAGTTAGATTTAATTCAACAGTATATGCAACGGGACTTGTAATCATATAGACCTCACCACCATTTATATCGGTAGTAGATGCTAACACATTGACCTCATCTCTCTCCTTAACCTTTAGCTTACCTTTTTCCTTATGACAATCCTTTATAAAATGCCCCGTGTTTTCACAACCATAGCATTTTCTTACCTTAGTCCTAGATTTTGATCTAAAACTACCTTTGCTCTTCTTTTTCCATCCATGACCACTTGACTCGCCACTAGTTTGATATTCATCATGACTATTTTACCTAAATTAAGTTCTACCCCGCATCATATGTACCTCACCGTTCCTCTTATCGTATTTTTCAACCCTAATTTCCATTTCTTTACTTCTAAGGGAATCTATGACAATTTCAGGTGTCAACGCATCTCTACCATACTTAATGGCATTCTTAACTTCCTTATAGGAATCAGGAATTGCATTAAGCAAAATTATAGTCTTATAAGTTTCGAACACAGTCTCATCACAATTAACTATATCTTGCACCAATTTGTTAAACACGTCTAAATTGTCATCGAGATCCTTTGAATGGTCCATTTTAAAATTGAAAAAATGTTCAAGCAAGTAAAGTTTATTCGGTGTAGACTTGAACAAATATAAGTCTTCTAATTTTTTCCAAAATTCTTTAGGGATTTTCAGTTTACCCACTTTTCTTAAAACGGCATCAGACAAGTGTAAAATGATTGAGGTATAAGCAAGCTCATCGACTTCTTCTCTTTGTTTTCGTAAAAAATCAGTTGAAAAATTATCTTCAATGGCCTTTGAAACTTTTTATTGGACTAAAATACCCTTCATTTTTTGTTGCTAAATAGCAAAATCACATTTTCCATTAAAAATTCTCAAATCAAAGTTGTGACTTGTCATCTTTACACAGTAGTTAAAGAGAGCACAAAATACACAATCAAACCACACAAAGTAATTCTAGGGCCACAGACAGTATACATCATTCTAGATTCTCAGGGTTTCGTAAGACTCGCGGTCTTAAATCAAGGGAATGTTCGAACGGGTAAGGTCACGGTAGTTCTAACGAAATAAATAAACAGCGGAAGTAACAATGCAACAAAAGATACGTCTAGCATATTACTAGTTTCACGACAGTTATGTCACTGAGGCTCAAATACTGATTTAACTAAAAGACAAATACTCAATCAGATAATCAAGAGCACGTAACCCTAATTCTAGCACAAGCAATAACTGCTAAGCAATGGCAACCTCCAAACCTAATGATCACCCCACACGATGATCTGCTAGTGCAAAAATATAAAGGTTTAAGTCAATTTACCAGAGCGGATCTATCTGAGTCCGTAACGTGGAGAGATGAGAATTTGTTGCTTTAGGGCCACCACTATTCGCCCTAAAGTTTTAGCAAATGTAATAATTCGTTCAGCAACAAATGCAAATTGTAATCGGGGCAAAATCGTCCAAAATTTTTTGTACAACCTGAAACACTAAACCAAACATAGTAGTACGTTCAGGAATTTAAAATAATTGAAATGGCACGAAAAAACCACGCAGGAGGTCCTCCACACGCCGCCGCTGAACAACCATGCGCTGCTGGTCATCGCCGGTTGCCGCCGCCACACGCCTCACCACCGGAGGCGCCTCGACCTGCTGAGTCCGAATCTACCCTCAGTTTCTTCTACACGTCAGCCATTTGTCCGGAAATAGCAGATACAGGTTCGGCCCTTTTGAAGAAATCGTGAACCTGCCGCCCCTCTTGGTCGATTTCTTGCCGGAGAAGATGAGCCACGCTCTGATACCAATTGTAAGGTGAAATTCCAACAATAACCAAGGTGATACCGGACTCAATTTCCACCATATATCGACACAACCTCGATTGAGACAACACTCAACTTCCACCTCCTTCCTTCTCACCTCCGGTTGCTATATATATACTCACAAAGAGTCGGCCAAGATGAAGAACAATGTATAGCCCAAGAGAAACCACACAAGTTATATGAAAGAAAGAGTTCGAGAATCAAAGTCACAGAAAGAGATGGAGTGTTCTTCATGGTGGAGGCGTAGATGAGCCGTAGGTTATAAGCCAAATGAGTGACCAAAAATGGTAAATTAGATTAGGTTAACCAAGTGGTCCAAACAAGGCTCAACATAAGGTAATGGGCTCCAAATGAATACCATAGCCCTCCAAGTAAATGGGACAAACCATGAGCAACACTATTAAAATAGGTTCCTTCTAACGGTCCATAGAGATATGGGTTGTGTTGTCTCAATGGTAGTGTCGACATATAATTTAATCATATGGCCAAGGCCGATTGATAATAAATAAAATCGAGGTTACATTATTGTCCGGGAGGTCGTTTGACAACAAATTGCCTAACAAGATTAATTGTCAAAAATGGATCTACAAGTACTATCATTTATTTACTCTTTTATTCTATCAATTTACAAATTAAATCGTTTATAAATTCTTTGTGATAGTGGCTAAATTGCAAAAAAGTAGCTATTTGTAAATGCCGATAACGTTAATTTTTCTTAAAAAAATAAAAAAACTGTTTTAAGATTTTTGTCAAAGATTTCTCTCACTTTGACTATATATGTTTCAAGTGGTAATAGACTTTCTATTCTTACAAATTTTCTATGGTCCGTTTTGACATTTTAATTTTGTATTGGTCACATAATCTAGTAACGGTGCTTGAAATTTTATGGCACTCAATAATTATAATATATCAAAGAATAATAATTTGTTAATAGGTAAGGACAAAATCAGATAGAAAAAATATTTCTTTTTGTTGAGTATATGTGTTGCCATACTTTTGTTAATACTGAATACGATAAATTTGAATAAAAATAAACCACCAATTATATGTCTAATATAAAATATTTAAAAATATCTCATAAGGTAGACCAAAAAAATCAAAAGTATAGTGTGACAGAAGGTGACATATAGTTAAGTTATAGAACAAGGCTATCGTGACAGAAAATCTTTGACATACAAGATGACCGACACTCACAACACGAGGGACCACTTTTTTTCGAATTTTTAATTCAAAGAGGTCTAGCGGCATGTGAGAAGCTATCACCACCTCTGTCAAAGGTTTTCTGTCATAGACTCGCACGAGCTCAAACCTAAAATATATACCCTCCTAGCCCCCAGGGCACATCTGCAAGTGATAAAAGGAAAGGGTGGAGAAATCCAACTTTATTTGAGGCTGTCGCGTCAAGGGTTCGAATCCTGAAATATAGATTTGACTTTTGGGTAAGTGCAAGTGTACAAGCAGCCTTCCACCCTATATCTTTGGAGGCATAACTTGCGATTTACCTCTTTCACGATACTCCAGGGAAGGGACGGTGGGAAACCCTTAAAATTGGGGTTCAACCTTTTTTAAATATATACCCTCCTATGTTGGTCCTAAGAAATCATGACTTTATGGGAATAAAGAAAGCATTTCTTTATTAAAGCCATCATACCTTACTGAATCGTATAATAAATAAAATTTTAAACACAAAATCTCAATCTTAAACACAAACTATTAAATTGATCTAAACTATATCCAAATAAATGTTTGATTAAGATTTGTTTCTTAATTAAATGTGAATAATTAGGTCAGCGCCTAAATTTTAGGTAAAAGTATTTTAAGAAAGAAAGAAAATTAAGGGCCACAAAGTGCAAATGCATGCACGTGCGTTGGTGTGCCTCCAAAGCGACAACGTTTAGCCAAATGTCAAATGCGATTCATTTTTTATCATTTTTGGCCAACCATAAGACGCAAAAATCGGCCGACCAATTCCACTAAACG